AAAAAAAAAAAAAAAAAAAAAAAAAAAAAAAAATTCCTATGTTGCTCTAATCTTTTTTTTAATTTTTGTTTGGTTTGCCCAATGTAACATTTGTCACATTCACATGGTATTTTGTAAATTAAGTTCGATTGTTCTAGTTTATCAACCTTGTCCTTTAGTTTTGTAAATATTGAATTTATTTTAACTAGGTTATAAAATACTAGTTTCACATTAGTATTTTTAAAACATTTATTTATTTTATTCGACAATGGTTTGATAATCGGGAACTTATAAATTTTTTTGCTGTTCTGTTCTTTTTTCTGATCTTTATCTATTCTAAACTTATTAAACACCATGTGTATGAAACTCGTTGGGTAATTATTATTTTTTAAGATTAGTCATATTCTTTTCTTATTTTCCATATGGAATTTCTTACTATTTAATGTCAGTGCTCTAAATAATAAACCTTTAATGACCCCAATTTTTTGGCTCATTGGATGATTCGAATTATAACTTATACATCTACCAGAGCTTGTAGGTTTAACATACCAGTTCGTTACAATAGAACCGTCTTCGTTTCTTATAATATTCATATCTAGGAAGGGTAAGGTTCTATTATTCTCTACCTCCCTTGTGAATTGGATCTTATTATTGACATTATTGAAGGTCTTTAGTGTTTGGTCCATTTCATCTTTAGGTATTGCTGTGACAACGCCATCAACATAAACCTTCAGGAAAGGAACTGGAAAGGGTAACCTGCCTTCAATCTTTCTTAAGATATAATTTATCACTAGATTGGCTAGCACTGGGCTCGCTGGATTACCCATGCTAGAGCCATCCATTTGTTGGTAGAAAGACCCGTTGAACTGGAAGTAGCTCAATTCAAAACAAAATTGTATTAGTTCCACCAAGATATTCTTCGGGACTTTTATGGATTTTGCAAGTTCTTTCCAATCTTCATTGATTGTTTTTAATACCAGTTCTTTGGGAATGTTTGTAAAAAGGGAGATTACATCCAATGATACAAGTATGTATCCTTCTGGTAATTTTATTTCTCTTATAATCTCCGCAAACTCAAACGAATTCTTGATGGAGAAAACAAGTTTGTTTGAGATAGATTTTGTTAACGTCTGATGTACAAATTTTGCTAATTTATAGCACGGTGACCCTATGGAACTCACAACCGGTCTTAAAGCACGTTCTTTTTTGTGAGTTTTCCTTAATCCATACAGTTTTGGCGCGACTGAATTATAAGATCGCAGGTTTTTTCCCATTTCTTCTGAGATGATGGATTCATTTTGTAATTTGATTGTTAAATTATTCGTTAATTTTTCAAATTTGTTAGTAGGATCCTTGCTTAATATACTGTATGTGTTTCTATCTTCCAACAGTTTTTCCATTTCTTTGATGTATTCCTCCTTTTTCATGATAACTGTGTTGTTTCCTTTATCCGATCTTGTTATTATTAAGTTCGGATTCTGTTTCAAGAAACGTTTTGTTGTTAGATAGTTTTCTTTTGTTTCATTCTTCCATAGTTTTTGGTTTTTATTNGTTTTGTTGTTAGATAGTTTTCTTTTGTTTCATTCTTCCATAGTTTTTGGTTTTTATTGTAATAGTTCGAAATTATTCTCACCGTTTTTGATCTTACATTATTTTGTTCATCCTTTATTATTTTTGTGTCAACATTTTCGATGTTAATATTTTTTATGCCTTCTTCTAGATCTTTTATTAAAGTGCCTACTGGCACTTCTTTGGGTCTTAATGGAATACCATATCCTGGTTCTAGGTTTAGTATTTTTTCTACTTCTTTCGGTAGCCTTACTATTATTATTACTTACTAATATTGTAAGATTCTTCATGCTGGTAACCATGTAAAAGTAGATTAGAGTAATTATTTGTTTCGTCTAAAATTTACGTTTCTTCTTTTAGCAAAATGATTTCTGGTATATCTTCCTTCTCTGTTTCTGCTAAGCGAATAGATCCAAAAGCTACCATAATTTTATCTTTGGTTTTTACTTCCCATTTTCCTAAACCTGAAAATTTACATTATTTCACGATATTTTTTTAAAATACTATATTTACAGAGAAAGAGGATTGGTATTTATACCTTTAAATATCATTATAATTAAATGAATTTTGCCGTTTCTAGGTACTTCTAGTAATTTATTGTGAATAATAATATTTTTTTTTCTCTCTCTCTCTCTCTCTGGAGTATAAAAAAATTATCAGTCTTATTCAGTATTAAATCCAAGTAAATATTCACAAACAACTTTAAATAGACAACAATTGAAGAAATGATTACATTGCCGTTAAATTTACGATTTTGTAAAAACTTGTTTTTATCTGATTTCAAATCTAATAATTCTTCAGTTCGTTTAGTTTCTCGAAATTTACCGCCTTCCACGTGCCTGTCAAACAAATACAATAATAGTTTATACCATCTATTTGAGAAAAGTCTATTTTGTACTTACCAATCAAAACTGTGTTCCCATCGAACAAGAGAAGAAATAGATGCAGTTTCTCTAGAAACAGGATAAGGAATTCTCTGACAGAGTTATCCTAGCGTAATGGGAAATCCAAGATTATAAAGCTTTCCTAATTTGGATAAGAAAAAAGTTGAATTGTCTTTGTGGCCTCGTTTTGTTAATGATAAATTAACGCAGCTACTGTCCAATGATTTTTTTAGAATCGCCTGATAAATTAACAGTATTAGGTAACTTAATTTAAAAAAATTTTATAAAAATATATTTTTTAACAAATAACCCGGTAAAAGTCCATGGGGTGAAATTTCAATCGTATAATATTCCTTTATTCTAAAGAAAAAATAATTATAGTTCAAAAATTTTAATATTTTAAATGTCTATCAGAAAATCTATAAAGCATTATCTGTAGTTATTTTACAAAAGCTTTTATGGACTCGGTAGGGCCACTTATAGTAAAACTGTCAGGTCCAATATGACAAGCAACATCAATGTCTTCAGGAAAGAAATTTCGCAAAAGTTTGTAACCCAGACCTACTGCGGCCATAGTTCCGTGTATCAAATCACTTTCTACTGAAGCCAAACAACGAGAAAGAGCGCTTAAAATCACTTCCTCAGCAGTAAGGCAACCATCTGCGTAAGAACAACCCAGCTCACAAACAGAATGCTCGATCATGTAATTCGGTTTAAAGCCAACAGCGTATAGAGTATCCACCAGACCGATCTATGTAACAATTATTCGAAATTATTCATTTAAAAAAAAGAAAAAATAAACACTCCTGAAAAGTAACCATTAGATATATTATTACTTGTATTGCTGTTATTCCCAGAAAACAGTTTACAATATTATCGTATATTGTAGGATTTTTATCGCAAATAATATGCACAATATCGTTACTACGAGGTCTTAAAACTACATCACATTTTTTTATTGCTTCAACAAAGATTGGAATTTTTATTAGCAGTTCACCTAAAAGAGAATTTTACATTTATTATATATGATGTAAAATTTTTTTATTCATTTAAATATAAAATTAGTAGTACCAATTCCAGCCCATTGTGATCCCATCCCCAAAAAAACGAACCAAATCTCTCGAGATTTAGCTGAAAAATTAGCTTGTACAATTTCTATCAAATGCTCTGAATCAGCTGCTTAAGAATCTGAAATTACTGTATACCCAGAATACAGAGAACAATGAAATGGTTTCTCAGTAATATCAGTAATTAATTGAGCCAGCTCATCATCTCCTCTGCTCGATCTTAACTAAATACAAAAATAATATAATTCACGATCATTTTGCCTAGTCAGTTTTGTCGTAAAATAAATATTTTACAATATTAAAGATCGACGATATCATTTCCTGAGTTCTACAAGAAGCTATAAAAAGTCGTGGCATATTATATAGTGAAAGTTTTCTTCTTTGCTTCTCTTTTGAATGACATTTTAGGATAATGTGAGAAAAGGATCCATTTAAAGCTGCCGTATTAACAGCAGCGTAACAATCCGTCCAAGGTGTTGGTTCTGTAATTACTTTTACGCGTCCATCCTGAAGACGTTAGGCTTCATCTGGAGGCTCGGAATAATGAAGACTTGGAGGTATAACTTCGGTCTCCATAGCAATTAGTACCTAGATATAAAAAATAAAAACATGTACAATATTAAACCAAACTTGTGTTGTTTTATATTTAATTTTGTCTATTCAGAAAATTTACCTTGATTATCGAATTTATCGCATTGTTATGATATGCATTACCAATGTTTGACTTAAGAGATCCTATTAAAAAAGGATTAGAAAGACTTCGATCTTGACCATAAACAAGATCTATGGCCTTTATTTCTTGATTTCTGTACCATCGGCCTCGATGTAAGTTACGTCGCTTGTTTTTAGACCGCAGTGTTGTAACGTCTGTTTCATTATTTGAGCCTGATATTCGACTATGGGAAATAGACAATTGTTTCTTGGAATTGCTTCAGTGTACTTAATACAAAGATTAACGACCTCGGCATAAACTCGGTTTGCATTTTTGGCTCTTTGTAGGAATATTATTTCTATCGAATCGCTTCTCGAGAATCCGGACGCTTTCTTATCAAAAGATCTATTTAGCCCGTCTGTTGATAACAAACCTAAATTATTGAATGCATAGAAAAACAAATTATTTATAAATTACGAAAAAATTCAACTTGCTGTTCTGAAACATTTCATTATTATTGAAAAAAAAAATATAAGAAAAATGGCATTTTGGTTTTTACATGCAAGAGCTGCAATAAATTATACTTAGTATACTTTGATTTTACCTAGATCATAGAGTTGGTAAGATGTTTGGGGAAGTAAGCTTATGATTACACCACTAACAATCGCGTAATCGCAATCTTCAGCTTTTAAAGCTTTGTACGCTTTTTGAATTGCTAATGAACTTGATGTGTTGGTTGAATCGATATTACAGCTTGTGCCAGTTAAACTCATACAAAACGAGATCCGATTTGATAGCAAACCACGGCAAAATCCCTGTAGACTATATCAATCTAGCTATAATGAAAATAAAAACAATTACACTTTGAATAATTTTATCTTTACTTGGAAGCTAATAGATTAATCTAACTACTTTCCTGACTCAACTTTTTCATGATATAAATTTCTGCCTCAATTATACTTAATACCCCGTAAACCTTGTTTCTTTTCTTTTGTAGCACTACAGGAATAATTCCAGCATCAATGACCGCTTCAAACGTAACTTTCGTTGTTATTCTTTCTTCTGGAGGAATTATTGTGTCTGTATTGCATTGATTCTAAAAGAAAAGTTATCGAATTTAGATCTATTAGAAACTCTTCCTAAACGCTTTCTGGTATTTTAGACGATTCATCTAAAAAATAATAATATATTGAATTAAAAATACCGCTCATCATTACAATTAATTTTAATATAAAAACAGAATAAACACATTCTTACCTAATTTCCATTTTGTACGATCTTCAGATATGCAATCCTCTCCGTTCATTAGATTTGCCCTTAAATCATTGATATTGTCACTCTTTGGAAATTTTCCCGAAACTCCAGAGATGACCACTGCACTATCCTCCAAGCCTTCTAATTTCATATTAATTAAGTGTATCAACACGAGCAGAACTATACACTACCAATACGTATAGCAAGTAAAGCTATTCGTTGAAACTGCTGTTTATATAGACCATCAAATATCCCTAATAAAAATTGTGAATTAAGCCACTAAGTTCCGAAAGTTAAATACGATTACTATGGATTAGAAAAGATATGGATATGTATTTAGAAAAGATATTTTCGCATTATCTACAGTGTAAATGATTCGAGATATCTTATTCTTTATATTTTCAAGAAGATTGAATAAAAGCTTGATTTGAAAATTTTGTTTAAATGTAATAAATCTGTTGACCAGATGTAAATAGCAATATACTTTCATACTTATTATAGTTTTTTTAAAAATACTTTTCGGACATTCTTAATGCAGGGTCAAACCATTCAAATATTACTGATAATTAACGACGTATAACATTAGGGAAATTCATATCAAAAGTAAAATGTTTCTATTTACAATTTTAATTATTATTCCTTTTAGATCATTATAAGAATCATTCATTAATCTCATAAAATAACAATACTTGAGAAAATATTTTCAGATGTTAGTATCGCACGCATAAAAATTAAATTAGATGGTAAGAGAAATGTTACATTAATAACATCCAGGAAACGTATCAGAGTTTCAAAGAGTAAGAATTACAACTAGTCAAGAGTAAACTCAAAAAATGAGTGCAAAAGGGATAGAGGTATTAAGGAAAGTTATAAGGAAAAGAAAGGAAATAGAGAAGAAGGAAGAAGAGGAAAGAAGAGAAAATGGTATATAGAAGTGTTTGTTATGTTGTAAGTTAGTTCGAAAAATTAGTTTTAATTTTAGTGTTGTTCTATAGTTTAAA